GTTGCCACCCCACCACCATGATATTGCGCTGCAGGTCATTATGTCGCTCCGGTCCGCACCAGAGGGGACGTGCAGGGACTTTGCTTCTGTGCGCTTGCTGGGTATGCGCGACCTACTGGTCAGTGTGGTGTTGCAGATGGGACCATCCGCTGATGTGCGCATTAGTGAGAGCAGAACAACGTCAGAGACGTCTGATGGCTGTCTCACATCTCTCTCTCCTCTTCGTCGCTCTGTGTCTGTAGACGGCTCGCCCTTCATATTTCTGTCGCGTCCTGATCAGTGTAGGTCGCACGTGTTAGCACCCTCCAGCACCGCCCATCCCTCCCACTTGGACGACTGACTGCATGAACCATGCAGACGAGGCTCTCGCTGTTTGATCAGCAATCTCTGGGGAAATAACAAGCATTGTCGACCGTTTTCCGTTCCAGCATTACGAGTAGCGCAGCGAGCCTCAGCCTTGGCCCAAGCCGGACATGACACCGCCACAGATCTTCACATATCCGTCAAAGTCAAAGTTGATACATGTAACTTTTTGGCAGCGTCGCTTCACATTTGTATTCACGAATTATTGTCCATGGTGAAGGAAGTGCGTTGCGACTGCTCGCACCGTCCAGCATGACACAATGCGCCGCCGGCGTTACTTGATAGACTAACGTAAGGCGGAATTTGGGCTTTGTCCCTTATCTCTGGCACCAGGGGTGCACGCCCTACTTAGCGGATCGACGGCTCGCCCGCATACCCCACTAAGCCCAACGTCGACGCACGATAATGTTGAGCCGACGTCGCAGTGCGGCTTTTTTTGCCTGTGTTAGGTGCTGGGAAATGTCGAGACCGTGGTGGGTTGGTAAGAATCGTGGGGTTCAGTCGGTTCAGAGTTCAGATTATGATTTCGGAGACGCGGATTCGTGCGATTTGAATGTTAATAGGCCCGGCCGCGTGCGCGCGCGCGCTGTGTACACATGTGTTGCTCTGCCGACGCCCAGGCTAGGAAACCTGTGGGGTTAACATGGGATTCTCTGTTAGCCGTATTGTGTACCACAGCAGGCGCGACAGAGACTTTCTTCCAGCGGCCTTCCAGAACAAACGCACGTACTCGAGTCCCATACAACAAGTGAACAAGTCGGGCGCACCGGCTGCGACAACGTTTCTTGTAGTCAAGTTAACTAGCATCCGAAACTTATTCACGTCTCTTCCGACGGACGAGCGCTGTTGAGTGATGCTGCTATGACGACGGCAGGCGAGAACGAGACTAACTGGAACCGCTGCGATTGGCCCACACGGCCCTTATCGCCCCCGACTCCTTCAACCCCGGGCAACGGCGCCCTGCCCAGAACCACGGTTGTATGCACTACGTTGCAGGTGTCGCGAGACGTGTGCGTAAAAGGTCACTGTGCATTCAGGGTCCCAGGGATTACGCAGCTCGTGTTGGGCATAGAATACACAATGCATACGAAGGGCAATAGTCGGTCGCTGAGTTAGGGAGCAGTAGCAGTAGCCGTGGAGCGGTGTACGGGGGCGGCCAAGTGGACGAATCTGGTAGGAATTGGGTAATAACCGTAATTGGGTAAATTTAGCTACACGTTACAGGCGACGCTACCCAGCGTCAAATCGCTCAAACTCGGAAGTGGGAAAGTCAGTGCGGTGCTTGAGGCTGTGCGGGTCTGTGCGTCGTGTACCCCGTCGGTCAGCTCTATTGCGCATCGTGACATTACCTGAGGACAGCGTGCGTCTTTTTTTTGCAAAGACATGTTTGAAATGAGGGCTGCGAGACTGGGCAGACAAGACGTGTCCAGACGGGCGGGTATCTTCTAGACTAGAACTAAAGTTACTTGCAGAGTGGGCAAGAAGATAATGCCAGGATGCGGCGTAAAAGTCGCGCGTTTAGAGAATGTTGATTGCTTGCTTCTCCCATCCCACGGAAACAGTTCGGCGACGCCTCTTGGCTACGGCCAGCCTAATTATGTATCTGAGCACGGCTAGCCCCGCCACAGGCCGAGACAGTCAGGACAGGTCAATCGCTGCCGACGAGACATTTACCTTATAACTGAACGCCCTGGCCCGCTATCCTTATCTCTCATTCAAACTCCCCACTTCACTTTGAAGACCTCGTCCACTTATAAACCCTCTATTACCTTGTCTTGGTTGACAGTAATCGCTCCTCCTTCTTCCCCCTCACAACCACCAAAAAAAAACTCCACACACACATACCGCAGTCATGGCCAACTCAACGATTGTTAGCAATGCTGCCAACGTGAGTTTCTACCTGCTCGCGTGCCCAGCAACCTGCTAATACAACAAACAGCTCAAGAAGTACCTTGACCTGCCCCAAAAGGGTGCAGTCATGGCCGAGTACGTCTGGATAGATGGTTCTAACGGCATCCGCTCAAAGTCAAAGGTGAGCTTGATTCCAGCTTTGCGGTTCCGATCCCCGATTCCTACACACTATCCGGCGAAGCAGTCAGTTGCAAACTGGAGTATTTTAAATGCAAGAGAAACAACTGGCTGCGATGCGCGGTGACACGGGCTCGCGATACACACAATGCAGACGATGGAGGGTTACGCTCGATCTACTGGGGAAGTTGGAGTGTGACGCCATGGCGCCAATCGCTCCCTTCTGCCGGGTGGGAAAGTTTGGGCGTTCCTTATCTTTATCGCGAGCCGCTCAACCCCACCATGCAGGTCCCTTCCGCATGCCCACCCACCCGTGACGTCGTTTCCCATTCCGATTACCCGAGGCACCTCACCTCCCCTTCCCCCTCGACAAGCATACTGACATGGCCTGCTAGACACTCAAGAAGAAGGTCGAGTCGCTCGACGAGCTCCCAGAATGGAACTTTGACGGTTCATCAACGGGCCAGGCGCCCGGCGACAACTCCGACGTCTACCTCCGCCCCGTCGCATACTACCCTGACCCCTTCCGTCTGGGCGACAACATCCTCGTCATGTGCGAGACGTACATGTCGGACGGTTCGCCCAACGCATACAACTTCCGCCACGACGCGGCCATAATATTCGACAAGCACGCCGATCACGGCTTCTGGTTCGGTCTCGAGCAAGAATACACGCTGCTCGACGAGTTTGGCTGGCCCTACGGCTGGCCCAAGAACGGCTTCCCTGCTCCCCAAGGTCCCTACTACTGCGGTGTGGGCACTGGCAAGGTTTTCTGCCGCGACATTGTCGAGGCGCACTACAAGGCCTGCATGTACGCCGAAATTGCCATCTCAGGCACCAACGCCGAAGTCATGCCCGCACAGTGGGAGTACCAAGTCGGTCCCTGCCCCGGCATCTCTCTCGGCGACCAGCTCTGGATGTCTCGTTTCCTGCTGCACCGTGTGGCTGAGGAATTCGGTGCCAAGGTTACTTTTGCCCCGAAGCCCATTCCCGGTGACTGGAACGGCGCCGGTCTGCACACCAACGTGTCCACCAACGAGACTCGTGCCGACGGTGGCATGAAGGCCATTGAAGCCGCCATGGAGAAGCTGTCCACCCGCCAGGCTGAGCACATGGCCGTTTACGGTTCCGACAACCAGCTCCGTATGACGGGTAAGCACGAGACGGCTTCTTACGACAAGTTCACCTGGGGCGTCGCGAACCGTGGTTCCTCTGTCCGTATCCCCCGCGCTGTTGCTGCCGAGGGTAAGGGATACTTTGAGGACCGCCGCCCGGCTTCCAACGGTGACCCATACCAGATTACTGCTATAATCGCCGAGACCATGTACGGAAAGGTTGAGGGTGCCGATGTCGCCAGGTTTGCCAAGAAGGCCGAGGTCGTCGAGGCGGAGATGGTTATTGATGTCCACAAGCCGTAGATATGGGGCTTGGGTTGGGCTACGTCTTCTTCTTCATACCCCCTTTTAGTTTTTTTTTTAAACACAATTAGATCGTTTGTTTGATGATGGATGACATGGATGACGGTGCCGCCCAGCTGCTTGATGGCTAGCGATGGCGGGCAAGAGATGGTTCGGATTTATATCACGTACTTGCTGCGGTAATAGCATGAGCAATGAATTTTCTATCCTGATATTTTGAACAACGCATTCATCCTTGTATACAGTCGTTGGAGTTTTGTGGTGTTTGTCTTTCTACCTGTGAACAGTAGGTAGTGGTGGAGAGGTCTCAGAGGAGGCGCACTGTTGCTTGTTTTGCTCTTGATAATGGGCTTGTAGGTCGCGTGATTATGTCTTCGCTGCAATTGGTGGAATGTATTCCTCGCATCTTCATTCATCCATCCAACTTTTTACGCATCATACGTTTCTTTTTCTTTGTGAATAACTTGTGTACTGCCATGGTTACCTTTTCCGAAGCATGTTATGCAAGTTTCAGTCTCGCAAGCTTCATATTCCGCTGGATGGCGAGGACTTGGTTCGTTGAAGGAGATGATGTTATAGCTGTCTTCTAGATTACGTGACAGATGCCATCACAAGCACATATGGCAAACAAAGCTGAGATTGCCGCTATGCAGTTGCCTACTGCGACGTTGGGAAGCACGCAATGATATACTGCTTTTCCGCATGCAACGGAAGAATCCTTAGCCGTGTGGTCGGCAAGCGAGCCCGTCTCGGCATTCGTATTCCACCCCAACTTCACGAGCAGTCATAAGAATGCGCCGCCTCCCCACGGGGAGCATTGTGGGGTACAACCCTTTAGCTGTCTCCAGACTCCTTGACTGCAATGGCCAAGTCTGGTGAGAAAGATTCTGTCCTGCCGATTGAAGGCGTAACGGATTTGGAGCGAGTAGCTACCGCGGCACCGCAAGAATCTGCTACTGCTGCTGCTAATGGCGAGAAAGATGCGTTATCAAGTACAGCACTTGAGGCTGTTTCCACGACGGCATCTGAACGCTTGCCCTTTTCAAAAGCACGATGTGTGGCACTCGTCACAACAATCGCTGCAGCACCATTTTTGAGTGTAAGCAACAACAAACCCCCCGTCCTACAATGTTTTCTATATAACACTAAGAAGAAGATGACATTGAGCTGACGCAACATTTCCAATAGACCATGGCAGTCCAAGCATCGGTCATAATCCTGCCCACCATCGGCGAAGAACTAAACATACCAGTCAGTCGCCAACAATGGATCATTTCCGCTTACAACCTCACTTTCGGCTGCTTCCTCCTTCTATGGGGCCGTCTAGCAGACGTGTACGGACGACGAATGATCTTCCTTTGGGGCTCTGCCGCCTTCACACTCACATCCATCATCACACCATTCATCCCCAACGAAATCGGCTTTGACATCTTCCGCGGACTCCAGGGTCTCGCTGCCGCCGCCATGGCACCGACTGCGCTCGGCATACTGGCTTCTACGTTCGCGCCTGGGAAGACAAAGGACGTGGCTTTTGGCTGTTTCGGCGCCGGAGCACCGCTCGGCGGCGTCTTTGGCAACATCTTTGGTGGTATTGTTGGCGAGTATCTCGACTGGCAATGGGTTTTCTGGCTCTTTGGTATCATAGCTGGTATCTCCACCGTTGCAAGTTACTTTGTCATTCCTATTCCGCCACAGCTCAAAGAAGAGCAGCAGCCCGTCATGCGCAACACGGTCGACTGGCTCGGCGGCTCACTCATCACAATCGGGCTCGTCATGCTCGTTTTTGCCCTCTCCGAAGGCAACGTCGTGGGCTGGCGCACTCCATGGGTCCCTGTCCTCATCGTCGTCGCCCTCATTATCATCGTCGCATTCGGCTTCTGGCAGCACTACCTCGAAACCAAGACGGCGAAGCGCCCGTTGATGAAGATGAGCATATTCAAAAATGGCAAGTTTACGGCTGCGAATGTGCTCATGGCGCTCTTCTTTTCTAGCTTCAATAATTACCTCATCTTCGCTACGTATTGGTTCCAGGACTACCAGGGTCATAGCGTCATTCAGACGACGCTGAGGTTCTTGCCGAATGGCATCACGGGGATATTGGTGGCGACGATTACGGGACAGATCTTGTCGAGAGTGCCTGGAGATTATATCCTTACTTTTAGCACCATCTGTGTCAGCATCTCCTCGCTGCTCTTTGCGATTCCGATTCCAGTCGATACCACGTACTGGGCGTATGGGTTTCCGGCCATGGTGCTGTGCGTCTCGGGCGCGGACACGATTTTTCCGGTGCTTACTTTATTTGTGGCCAAGACGCTACCGGCTGAAGATGCGTCGTTGGGTGGTGCGCTTATTACTGCTGTTGGTCAAATTGGTCGCGCTATTGGTCTTGCGATTGCGACGGCGGTGCAGACGGCTGTTGTGGCTAGAGAGAAGGGTCTGAGCGTGGATCAGATTGGTACTGAGGGACACAAGACGGAGCCTTGGGATGATGCGCTTAAAGTTGGGATTAGGACGACGGCTTGGTTCAACTTTGGCATGAGCGTTGCCACTACCTTTATTGTCATCTTCTTCATTAGAGGGATTGGGATCATTGGAGGAAAAGGAAAGCGATAGCGCTTGTATATGATAAACGAAACGAATGGAATCAAGAACACTGAGAAAGATATACTATTGAAAGCCCACAGCATCTGATTTGTGCCCAAACTCAATAATCACGCTTTTTATCCAAAACGCTCCTGATCCCAGAGATGAAGCGCATCCACATCTCTAGCGCCTCACTACCTCTTCTTTTCTTCCTCGTCATTCTCATTAGGAACGGCCAATGCACCCACCACCTTCTTGATACTCGCCTTCTTCCTCCAACACGCCCTATACCACTCTCCCAGCTTCTTAAACCCTCTACCCCCTTCCTTCCATCCATCCCACTCTGCAATCAGTACATGTACAACCGGCCAAACAAACGCATCCGCAATACTAAACCTACTCCCAGCAACAAACGGCCCCCCATTCCCCTCAACCATCTCTTCCAACCGACCCACCAGATTCTCAACATCATCACCAGACTCCAGCCTCCCTCGATCCGACCAAGCTTTCACTATGCTGGCCGTGAGTAACATGATGGGATACGCATTCGCAGTCACGCAATGCGAGGACGCTGATGTATCAAGCGGGTGATACCGATCCAGATAAAGCAGTATGGAAGACGCACTGTGGATTTCAGTATGCATGGCATCGGTATCCCTGAGCGCGACTTGGCGGTCTGCTTCAAACGCCGGGTCTAAAGACGGCGCTTCAACGGCCGTATAGGCAAGCTTCTTTTCTGCGAGGAGAATCATGACTTGGTTGTTTTGAATGGCCTGGTTGCTCAGGAACAGCAAGGGGATATTGGCGGACGACGGCGGCGGCGCGTGCAAGTGCAAAACGTCAGATCCGTCCCCGTAATGTTCCTCCCAATCGAAATTCGGGTCGTGGTTTTCGCGGCTGAAAGCAGTGATGAGGCGGACGGTTTCGGCCTCGTCGTTGGAGATGATGTCGGCGGCGTCGCGTTGCGTCTTTGCGCTTGCGCCCTGGCCCCAGATGACTGTTTCGCGTGCATCGAGGAAGGTACCAATGTGTCGGAATGTTAGGCTGATGCGGATACCGTTGTAGGCTGTTTCGCTTTCGGTGCGTTCCTTTAGAGGCCGTTTGTCGGGTTGGATGCCGTGGAGCCACTTTGCGTTTGAAGCGAGGCCGAGAACGAACATGGAATTATGGGGAAGGACTACGCGTTGGGTTCTGCGCTGCGTGATATTGTCACTGTCCAAATGTTCTTCTTCCTCTTCCTCTTGCTGCTCTGCCGACTGAGCCTTCTTGGTGCGTAAGCGCATCGTCCGTTGCGAGCCGAAGCTCACATTGACGATTGAAGAGCCTTTTACTATATCGAGTGTCTTGTCAGAATGCTCAGATATGAAGTCGTTGCCGGAACGGTAGAGTTGGATCAACACGTGGTTGAGAGGGTGGCCAACAAGTTTCTCAGCGTGCTTTCGAATGAGCTGTACTTTGGGTGAAAATCGCAGCAGCGGTAGGCTTTGGTCGGATGGATGCCGGTATATTGGCATTGAGCCGTCATCGCCAAAAGCGCCCTGACAGCATACGAGACGGGGGACTTCGCCTTGCTGGTGGAGCATCTTCTGCCATGGCACTTCGTTGTAGAGTTGGGTGAATATGACGTCTTTCAGTGGCTTCGATGGAGCAGATAAGTGGACGTAGTCGGCAGAGAAGAAATTGTGCATGATGCGCGAATCACCTTCTGCAATGTGATCTCCAGGTCCCAGGACTGGGAAAGTTGCGAGTGATTGCAACTTGCGTGATTGTCGCATCGTAGTGGCTTTTGCTGGTGATGGGGGATCGATTTCTTGTGTGACCGCAGGAGACTGTTCTCGCTGCGGGAGTTTTGACGTCGGTTGTTTATCGTCTTGCTTCACATTGGTAGAGGTTGCATTTGCAGAACTGGTAGATCCTCTTTTCGACTCAGACTCTGATTCAGACTTTGCCGCCCTAGTAAATGACATGCGGACGCGATCCGAGAAATCTGATAACCTGTTCTTCTCCGTCTCTTCGCCATCAGCTTTGGTAGATAGCATAGGGACCGAAGTAGCGTTCTTCAATATGCGCTGCTTCCCTTCTTTCTGCCGTAAATCTGCAACACTTCCAGCTTTCGCAACCTTTGAAGTTCGTTGAGATTCGGTTGATGCAGGTGGAGGTATGATTGTAGGCGACGCTGTGGTTGGTGGTGTATCTTTCGTACCTTGGCCCGTAGACGTGCCAGGCTTGCCATCCACATCTCCGTCATCGCCTTTTGGTTCTTCTCCTTCCTTCGTTTTCTTTTTCTTTTTCCTGGATTTTCCTGTCCTCATGCGGATCTTCGTCTTGACAAGCTCCGGTTTCTTCGCCTCTTCCTGTGCGCCGGGTACTGTTGCTCCCTTTGTGAGTATATCTGAAAACTCCTTGTCGCTAGGATCTACTGTTCCCCCAGCGCTAGACGCTTCTGCAGTCCTTGCCGCGGTCCGCTTTGCTATTATGGATGTTGCAAGAGACATCTTAGCCATCATCTCCTCCACGTTCGTATCACTATCATTCTCGCCGCCTTTTGCGCCTTTCGCAGGCACCGCCGTCTTTTGCACAACCAATTGCGGTTCTTCCTTGAGTATCTCCTCACTATTAACCAGGAAAGCGCTGAAGAAGTCTTCCATGCGCTTCAGAGCCAAATCATGTCGATTCTCCTTTCGGTAGCCGAGACAATCCTCAACAACATGAATCTTCACACCATGGCGCGCAGCATCAATAACCGTTGCCAGTACAGATACATTGGTGATGCATCCCACAATGAAAAGCTCCGTGATAAGCCTTGCGCGCAACGTTATGAGCAAGTTGGTACCTTGGAACGCAGAGTAGTTGGTCGTCCGAATCACGACATCCGTCGATAACTCAACCTGGTTCGCAATGACATCCGCCAACTCAGCGCCGTGCGTGTCTGGTACGCATGCCGGCGTCCTCTTCTCGCTCCTCAACAAGAATAATTCCTCGTCTTCCTCAGCCTTGGCTTTTGCAACCTCTTTTGGCAACGTCTTCCTTCGCGCGGACACACGTTTCAGCAGGTCTATCGCGCGTTGCTTGTGCTTTGAAGATCTGGATTGCGCTGGTAGTGACGCTGCTTCTTTGGCCAGTTCATCCTCTGCCGCGTCATTGTCCTTCTCGTCACCATCGACAAGCCCGCCTACAACGAGCGTGTCGCCTTCACCTGTATCGGCGCCGGTCGCAATGCGGTCAGCTTCAAACAGCGTTTGAACCCATATCACGTTGCCGCTGCGCTCCCGAAATATCGGAATCAAGGTCTTGATGCGCTCTAGAAAGCGCGTTTGAGTGTCAACTGGAAGTCGTCCTTCTGATGTCACAAAGTCGTTTTGCAGGCCAATGATGAGAAGCGCTTGGTGGGTCTGGAATCGTGGTTGGTTCTGGGACACAAGGTCCATCAAAGACGCCATGTTTGAGTCCATCGTGTCAAGAACGCGGACTGCTGGGGTTAGACACGGAAGCGAAAGGTCTTGGCATCGGTGCTAGTGAGCATAGGGTTTTCTATCAATAGACCAGGGATTCATGAACTCGAAAGTGACTGGAAGTGCAACAACTAGGATATTTGTATACTATGTGTCGGACCTGAAAGCTGGTACTTGATCATGAGACGCACGCAGGGGCAAAGCCAAGCAGCCGCTGAGAGACAGGTTTTAACTCAAGTCGGCAAACCGTTCGGCATGCAGGAACAACTGGATTGGAGGATTGAGCTGCAGGATGCGTTGCGCAGGGCGTTTGAGACCATTGAAAGGTCATGATCGGTGGTGTTGGAGATTTTGACAGCCGCTAGATTTCCCCACTGGCGTTAGCGCGGGGCAACGGAAGGGCTGCTGGTACGTTTTCGCTCAACCACGTCTCCAGACGTGCTCAACTCCGTCTCGTAAAGGGCTTCCCTTTTCCATCTCCTGTACTGTACATCTTCACGGTCGCATCTCCGGCCATCTTGCCCATGGATATAGGTCGGACAATATACCGCCCGAAGCGACAGGCTTAGACGGACCTCGAGTCGAGTGGCGGTATAGACATAGATAAACATATGAGGTAACGCCGTTGGCCCGATACAGGGACACGTGCCCCAACGGTGCAACCAGGTTACTACGGCCTGATCAACGCATATCCTTATTCCGTTGCACCACTGAACGATTACGTGAGTAGGGTCTGCTGCTATACACGTTATGTGTTCTCGCTCAGCAAAAGAGCGTCTTCGTCTATTGCCCTTTTTGGCTGCTAAATTCTTGGCCATTGCAGTGACAGGGATAGAACGTTCTTGATGATTTTGTGATACTGGCGCACCGTTTATGCGCAAACATTATCGGCAAAACGATTGAACATGCGCGTTGCGCAAAACGATACAGTGCAGCTCGACTGTCAACCTCTCGATCTTGCTACGACATGACTGCGCTATGACGCTTCAATAGCACAGGTCACCTGCGTACAGATGATAAGGCAGTAAGAGTGTCATCAAGTCGAGGATATCGTTTAGTAATCTAGGAGGCTGAGACCCTTGATGGTTGTGCATTCTAGTCTAGCATCTGTTTCTGATCTTTTGAAAAAAGGTCCATGTGAGTTGCACCGAAGAGTACAAAGTCAGACAGCTTCAGCACAGGTACTTGTTAGGCTCGAGGAGCTGGACCGAGAGCCAAGCTCACAAAGATCAAGTCATAGTGATCGGCGAAGAAGCCTATGGTCGTGCACCACTTCTGCTATCTCAACCTGAGAAGAATCGACAACAAACGACAGGCATATTTGACCGTACTACTTGAGGATGCCTTGAATGGCCAAGGGACTACCAAGTCTTTGTCAAGTATATAAAGACATGTTGTCTTTCCAATGCATACAATCATCATCACTCAATTCTATCCTCTCTCACATTTCCGACACACATCTCCACTTGTCTTCACTTTGACGTAAACACAAGTCAAGCTTCTCTACAGCTTTGCTCACCGCCTCAACATGCGTACCGCTACTATCTTTTCTGTTGCTATCACTGCTCTTAGCTTCTTTACCACGACTACGTCAGCTTGATGTGACGTAAAAAAGTTCTTTGAAGATTGCTGCCTCCGCGACGACAAGGCACGACACGATCAAGGAAATGGCTTTGCAGACGGAGATTTATGCAATGCTGAGATTCTGAAAACTTTCGACGCGGACTGCTGTTCTATGAGCACTAGGTTGGGTATTGGTTGCCCTAAGTAGGCTTTTGGGCAGGTGTCCGAAGAGATGATTTTCAGACTTTAAGCTTCCTTCTACAAATTGTCATCCATTATGTAACAACATCTAGATGTGAAGTTGCCACGGATATCACTGTGGTTTCTCTGACACTCAAACGCCCTAAGTTATAGAGTAGAGGATGACGTGGCTCTACAAATCTTATGCACACGGTCTGGGTACCATCTCAAGCCGAATCAATCATTTTTTCACTCGAATTCTTTGACCCTCTGATACCAAGAAAAAACACAAGATACTCAGCTGTTTGTTTAGCCAGATTCCAAGTGTCACGCTCACGGGCTCCATTCGCAATTATCTACCATCTAGTTTCCTGATTTTTATCCCTATTGCGATGGTGTTGGGTATATAGAAGTTGGATCACTATAGTTCCAATATGTTCAAATCAAGGGACGGGGATATGTCGTTTCATATATCCTTTGTCTCAGATGAATATCGTGCTTGTTCTTCCTTTACACTCATGTGCAAGATGGTGGTGGTCTCGCCAGCTAAAGTACCTCGTGGGATCTAGCAGGACTACTCAGAAAGAAGGCGTGAAGTATGCTTAACTATGTAATGTTTTACTTCTGTCTTACTGCAAGTGGATAGGATTAGACAAGCCTCACACGGTGCTACGAACAAGTCTCTTCGGAGGACTTGGATAGCACGAACCCTGGAAGAGTACAAGCTCTGGTTCTGCGGTCATATACTCTATATTGTCTCTCTTTATCCAATTACTTTAGCTTTTTAGATTATTAAACCACCTTTCGTAAGATACCTCTAACTTCGCTTCAGAAACTTTTCTAACATCTGGCGGACCCGCGACTGCGATTAACATCATGCTAAGAAGCACGACTGTACAGAACGCGAAAAGCAACCCACTAATCCATCGAATTCTTGGCAACACCATAAAGATAAGTGCTAACATGGCCTCAATCGCACACATCCCAGAGATTACGGAGCCTTGATTATTAAGTTAGTTTTCCTTTCTGCAGACTTTGCCGTCTTCGTAAATGGCGCGAGATACTCACGGTTCTTTGTTGCGTCAAAATTCGGATTCCGCTTTATATTCATTCGCGTCGTCCGGCTACCGACCTCTTTGTACAGCACCCATCCGGCTTGGTCTCCAAAGACGCTGAAAAACATTTGTGCTGGATAGGTACGTAGCTCGCGCCCCGAACCGACCGTCCAAAGGCTGGCTATGTTGCGTGACGCTTCAGATTCTACTCCGTATTGCGTGCACAGGACGTCCGTGAGAAACGCGCGGACTTCCACCGACGTTGCACTTTCTGAAGGCAGTGGAGGGTCGTTGGACGCGCATGTCACGCTGTCCGCCTGCTTGTTGTTGTGATCTGCGTTTTCTAGGTCAATCCGCGTGCCCGTGCCTGTGGGCTCGACCGTGTGGGCTCGGGCCGCCATGGCTGTTACAAGATGACGAAGAGAACGGTTAAGAGTGTGGACAGCCCCGCTCTCTTTAGGCAGTTGACAGCACCTGCACTGCGTCATCCCTCTCTACTCTTGGGAATACATGCCAAGCCATCCGCGCGGAACGCACGGCGCGCCAAGGCACAGGCAACTACTATCCTGGGGTGGCGGGGAAGAACGGCACTGCACGCGACGTCAACACAAACCCCTAGCAAGGGAGTTGTTCGCAGGCAGATCAACAAGGACCCAATTTTGCTACACAACTAATTAATTTATCTTGGCACTCTTGCAAAGGGTTCCTCTAGAGATCCACGCATGTATCGCCTTACTAAGATTCTAAAACTTGTCAACTCTGAAGTCTGTTCAATCTTCGAAAAATATAGTTCGTTCTTGAAATTCTCTGGCATTGACAAGAGCGGATCTTTAGTTAACGAGAAACAATTTTTTTGATGACCTTCTTCCCATTGAAAGTTAGTGGTTGTAGCATGAGTGAAAAAGGTGGCCTTGTTGACCTGCCCGCGAGCGAGTCCCCTCCAGCAAGCAGCTGTTTCTGGGGCCACGTCCTTTCGGACACAATGTTTCTTTAGGAAGGAGCGAGCAAGCTTTACTGTGCAATGCAACGCAGAGTCGAGTCTGCCCCATCACTCTAGCTGTTTTTAAGTCATCCTTTCAACAACAAGTGCTTACCCGCCCTTTTTATCCGCACACTTTTGCTGACCCGATTGCTTGGCCTTCACAGGTTCCGCGGTTAAGTCGGAGCGCTCCTTCATGCTCGTACATCACGGCTTCTCTATTCTCGTCATGATTGACTACCTGAACAGATCATCCAACAGACACTTCCCACAGATTTGGGGCGTAATACGGTTCGCTTGCAGTGCTTCCTCCAATGAGGTTTCGGAAATATGTTACTCAGAAGCGACTTACAGGAAAGGCGCATCGATCGAGGTCTTGATATCTTGGAGGATATCTTGGAGCTTTATCACTTGACCGCGATGATACAGCGCATCTGCGCCGTCGGCAGCTGGAAAGGTCTTGCAACCGGGCCTGGGACGAGGTATAAAGGAAGAGTCAAAGTGCCAGCAATCCATCGGACACACATTCCTATCCTCAATCCACTCTCACACCACTTTCTATCTCAAACGTCTACGAACTCGACTTCTCCAGACAAATTCTTGCCTTCGACACAATGGTCTTCCTGCATGTAGCACGGCTTCTGGCCTTTACCAATACGGTTTCTGCCTTCTCTTTGACATTCTACGTAGGCGATCAGTGTCGCGGTGAACGGCTTGGTGGCTTCGACGTCTCAATTGAAGACAACTGCGTACCTGACGATTTATACAGCACGGCTTCTTCATCGGTCACCATTACTCGACAAGATGGGGACCAGCTCGACCACATGCTGTACTTCTTCGAAGGCGACACTTGCGATATAAACAACCCTGCTAATCCTGTTGCTGCCGGTAACACGGGTTGTATCAATGTCGGATTCGGCAGAAACGATTTCTCAGCCGTCAGAGTCTTTGGTGGAGGTGGCAGTCCACAGCAAGTCGCTTCGCGTAGGACACGCACGGCGGGCAATAGACGAGTCGCTCCTCGCAGGGCACGATCAGTGGGCGAGCTCCAGCACGGCGATGTATTTGAGCAAGACGGCAAGGACTACCGCTGGCAGCAGATTGCCCGTGGCACCTTCACCGGGGTGCCTACGGACAAATGGGATACCGCATTTCGAGTGATGAACGATGAGCCCCTGATCTTCAACGCAAGCTATCCTTTCAATTTTGAGGAGTACTACATGGCCAACCCCAATATGGCACCCCGAGGTCGAACTCAGAATGATAGCCCAGGTGTGTCCCTCGCCGAACAACCTGACGCTATGCTTGTCCCCGAATTGCTCCCTTTCTGTCGACGCGCGTATGAATGCGTCGTATATCTCCCCTGGGCTGCCAGCATATACTTCCCAGCCCAGACAGAGTACGTCGTCAATGCCATAGAAGCGGCACGTACCCAGGCCACCCTAGAAAACCTCTGGAACTTCCTCCTGCAGCCCGTCATCATCCCCATCGGCACAGGTGTCGCTACGGGCTACATCTCCGCCCAGCACTTTTCCTCAGGCTCTGCCAGTGAAGTGCCAAGCACCTGCTCTCAAGCAGAAGACACCGCCGTACTGGCTGCACTGATCAATAGTGGCGCCGTCACCGAAGACCAAGTCAACGCTGTGCGTGCTGAAATTTACGACTCCAACGCTGCACAGGCAGCGACGATTGCCGTGGCCATCGTGCCGGAGTACGTCAACAGCGGGAACCAAATCTGCGGTGCGCCGATCATGGGCAATACGCTTGTTGCAGCTAGTGATAGAAGATGACAATGCAACGGAAATGAGGAGATTGGTGATATGTAGCGTAGAAAGTGGAAAGAATGGTGGTGTGCCGCCTTGCCTATGCCTAGATATCCTTACCTTGCCCATCTATCAAGCGCTGTTTACTCGCTGCTCAGCAAGCTGGGCAAAGAACCAACACGAAAGTAGCAAAAGCACATAGATTTTCAGCACCGAATATTGTATTAAAGGTGTTACAATGTGGCCTCGTCTGTATCCTATTCCTTTGCGAACTGGAATAAAACCGTTGACATGTGTTCACTACATCGTCCCCTCTCGCCCTCGCCATCGCACCACCCAACCTCTACCTATCAAGCTTAGTCTCATGCCAGATCATCTCAGGCGAATAGTGCAGCGTCCCATTTACATGCACCGTTACCGTCTTATCTCGCTTGTACAGGTTGCCATCTTGCACACAACCCGTTAGGCGCTGTTTGTACCAGCGCGTGGCCGTGCTCTTGTACTCCTCGTGGACGAGTTTTCGGACCGGTATGTACAGCTTGGCGATGTACCTAGAACGTGGAGAGATATAGAGTGGCTCTTCAAAGGTCAGGGCTTCGGCTTGCGTGTATATTTTGCTCTTGGCGGAGTCGTCGTCCCAGGAGTGTGAGACGGAAAGTGTTCATTGGACGTCGTAGGATTCTTTCTTCTCGCAGCCGGATCCAACAGTGCTTTGCAGACAGGCTTTGACAGAGGTTGCTGTTGCATCGGTGCTTTCGATCGTGAGTTCTTGAGTTGCAGGTTCCATAAGCGCGATCTTGCTTGGCTGCGCCTGAGTGCTGTAGTTCACGCCTTTCTTCTCATTGTAGAGCATTGAGCAGGTCGAACGATCGTGGCTGATGGTGACAGGTTCGATCTTTTCCTTGACAGGCCTGACTGAGGTCCACGAAAATGCACTGAGACTGTTGCCGTGGCTGATAAAATGGAGGTCATAGGCCTCCTTGGTTTTTCCCTATGCCCGGATATTGTTGAATTGATACCCAGCACCATCGGCATGCTCGAAAAGGGTGACCGTCTGTCGGTTAAGAAGTGTGTGCCAACGCGCAGAACTGGTTCGATCGTTCATATACCAGGTATTGAATGAATGGACAACCCCTGGCGCCCACTCGCTCAAGAATATATTTTGACGGTTCAATGTTTGGTTTTCGGCGAGAGCATGTCCCCTCGCGTCAAAAAGCTCGACGGCCCCCATCTATAGATCCACTTCCCGCCACCAGAATCCTTTCACGCAAGCAGTCATATCTACTCGGGTCAGGTCAACTGCTTACGTCTTGCCGGTACCCACCAACTTAACGGTACGACCACAACCACGAGTATCAGCGACGGGCTGGTTCTTCTCAGGGGTCTTGTCGAGTTCTATCATTGTCATCACCGTACCCAATGGTAGCTTCCACGTAATCCAACAAGCCTTGTTATAATTCTCCGTCAAGAGTCTGTGACACTGGCCGCTCGCATAGTCTTCAGTTTCAATCGTGAAACTGGTGCCACCGAAGTTTGCAGTAGTGAAGACCTTGACGGCGCCGCTGTTAAGAGCATCATAGGCCTGCTGTGGTGCAGGTAGCTTCGTGAGGCGGGCTACCTGCTCTTCTGCGATGATCTCGCCTCCGATCATGGTGTTTTGTGCAGTCATTTTAACGAAGTGATCTTGTTCTTAAAAGACTTGATAGAAGTTCTGTGTGTTGAGGAAGGAGCTTGAAATGTGCTGTGATTTTAGGAAGATTATGGGGTCGTGAGGGTCCCATCTTATAGTTGAAGCTGCAGATTGAACGGACTACGTCCGTGTTGTCGGGAATGCCCATATTCCGCATACGGAAATCATATGACTACCTCGACTGCTGCAGCGTATAGCTGCATACTGCATACCTTAAGCTTGTATTGCGCTAAAAGAAAGCAATGTAGCGGCGAATTACAGCTCTCGGTAATTGCCTGTCGCTGCAGCGAACGCGGATTGTAGAGCCCAAAACATTAGCCGAAAATAAGCTATTGTGCAGTATCAGATACACAATCGCAGCCCTGGAATCGTAGCTATAGGATTGTCGTGAGCCGAACTCAGCAGACAAGCCACTTATTGGTGTTCGCTACCGGGCCGTACCGTAAGAGCATAGCCGAGCGCTTTCTTTCTCTTTAACCATGAACAATGTTTTGTTTTCTGGGGTTGTTTTACATGTGTTATGCATTTAATCTACTCACCCTCGAGTAGGGTTGAAGAGAGAGATGATGTATGTGCGAAGTGTGCAGTTTCTTTTTCCGCTCTTGATGTACGCAGAACCGGTGATCCTACCGAAGATGGAAGATGATGTTGTTGGTCAGGTGAGATACAAATTCCTCATTGCTCTTGGTTGGTACACCGAGGGAGGTTGGGGCGAAGATGTGCATACAGATAATCGCGCGCAGGGCGAGATGTGCCTCTGCTGAGAATTTGTGGAACACTTCAAGGAATGACTTTGCGATTTGGGAGACTTTATCTTTCGTGGATCGCATTGTGCTGTATAGTGACAAACGATAAAGTATAGCAAAGTTGCCAGGTGATTCTGGTACTAAATCTAGTCGTGCTATCTCTACGTTTGTTCCGTCGCCAAACGTTCTTGGAGCAACCTTGTATGCCTTACCGGAGCTATTGTTAAAGTCCGTGGTATCGCCGATAGTTGCCATGCTTTCGCAGTGTGCGGATGCGACATTAGTGTGATGTCGCTCCCTGCGGCGGTATAACAAAGAAAGTGCTCATGATGAGCCGGCTGCGGTGCATCAAATTATTTGACGTGCTGCGTTCTGAGCATGAGTTTCATCGCCATGCTTTTCTCTGCTGACGACGCTTTTCTTGATCCTCTGCGCTTTGCGTCCCGTCCGTTCCGCTCAAGCCGACTTCGTTGTCGGCGACCGCGTGTTCCGCATTGTTGCGTGCGCTTTTGAGCCGACGCCTTGAGTGTTTAGAGCTCAGTATGTCAGCGCTTCAACTGTGTGGAGTCTCGTACATACAACATAGACGGCAGCTGCCTTTGTTTTCCCAGCACAGAGATGCTATGCGGAGAATGGAGATGAACTGGTGGTCACTAGTGTGTACATGTGTTTGCAAGAACACATCGCTAGTGGCTCTATGGCGGACCGCTCTGACACCTACATATGATCGGCTGCACCACAGCTAGGCATGGCTCCAATCTCATGAGCTGAAAGCGAAAGCTAAACTAACCTGGGCAAATACCATGTATAAGAACGTCAAACAGCGTAAAGTAACATTACGTCGGGAGGAAGACCTTATACAATACACTATAGGGCTTACGGAGCGCTATTTTCCTTCTGCAGAAAATGCCTCGTGATACACAATTGCAAACGCATATTACTACGTCAGTAGTAGCTTGCGATCTGTGAACAACGGTACATCTATAGGCTATCTGTTGATGTATGCAGGGACATTCAGCACATTTCTTATATTGTTATAGTGGCTTACTTCTGGGTCCTTCTGCTAAGCAATGGTATTCTTGAAGGTCTATATCAAGTCTTTTGTGCTCCACGGAGAAAAGTTGGATGGGCAGAAACAATGCTTTTATTGCTAGCTTAGGTTGTTTGGCCTGTGCCTAAACAGCACCTGTCTTCTCGTTGTTGCATTTCGTGGATACGCAGCCGTTAGCGTATCCACATCCACTGTAGGTCCCCGATCCGGGTTTGATACAATAATGGCTGATATCCACCCTGCCATTACCCTTGGTCGTGCTGCTCATGCCATCGCTCCTGCGAGTCGTCTCTATCTTGGTTGACAGTCCGTAAATCCAAAAAGTGTCGTTACCCAGAACGAGCGTTTGCTCTATGAACGTAACGTTCGTGTCTATCGCAGCAAAATTAGCCCCTTTCACTCAGTCTCGCAGACGTGGATGTCCGGTAGATGGAATAATCAAGATAACTTACAGTCCCATTCATACTTTAATCCCGTGCTACACACATCCGTCTCGGCAGGCGCGCTGGTGCCTTGTGGCACGAAGCTGTAGTGACACTTTCCCTCAATGGCATTCGTGATCGATGAATGGAAAGTAGCGTTGAAGTCGCGGATGCTGTAGCCTGGGCGACCGGACTGTGTAGAAATGCTCACGTCCCAGTATGTGTCCGTAAGATCGGGGCGATCGTATTCGCTTTCTGCGGCTGTCACGGCGGCCGAGCCGGCAAGCGCAAGTGCGAGGAAAGAGAAACGCATAGTTAATTGATTCAGGTTGTTGTGACTGAGGTGTGTTGGGAAATGCATGGGGCGAACTGTCTTATTTCTACGGCTGCACGGAAAAACAGCTCTAGGCACCAGACAGATATACGAGCATGCCCCAGATAAACGGTACGCCTTACAGAAATCCTTTCGTGAACGGGCCGTGAGTGGGTCTCCCCGTCCTCGGTTCCTGAGGCTCGCCACTCCTGATTGGTCGTGCAGACGGACCTGTATCTCCGACCTTCCGCATTAGGACATTTTAAGGTCGAGACCCTTTCAAGGTAAATTTGATGTGTATTTATATCCTGATGCTTAAGATGCGGTGAGTTTTTATGAATGTTGTCGTCAACGAGATATAGCAGTAGTATCTCATATGTACCTAAGTCTTCATATGTTCTCACTGCATCTTTCAATGGCATAGCAACCTGCAAAGAAGGGCCGAAGCTACCACTATTCCAGCTCTGCCATGTCTTCCCATCTCTCCAATCTTCCAAAGGGTCCATATCCATTTATACAAGGAACTTCCATAGAACAGCCCTGATCATAGGAAGCTCGTCCAGGTGGGCCAAATCACGTTATGAGCATCTTTCAAGCTACCGCGCAGCTGCCGCTTACGCAAGTGTTCGGCTTCTGACATGGCGTCGAGGCATCGCAGGTCCATCCAGTGCATCTGTAGGTTCAAGTCAGTTTCCTATGACTCATCGCACACGTAATGATCGCTCACCCCCAGTTGCACTGCGCGCTGCTGCAAACGCCATCGGGGCTCAAACATGTCAAGCCAGAGTTGCAATCTGTCGCATTACTGCATTTCGCACCTACAGCGCCGGTGGTCGGAGCTGCACAGGCGCCGTTCACACACGTATTTGGTTTCTGGCATGGCGACGAAGCACTACAGGTCCATCCGGTACATCTGAAAACCTTGGTCAGTAAATTTCAAAAGCCAAAGGAAGGAAGCTCTAACCCCCAGTTACAAGCGGCTGTGCTGCAGATACCATCAGGTGCTAAGCATGTCATGCCAGAATTACAGTTCGTGGAGTCACTACACTTCGCACCTTCGCCACTACCAGATGGAGAGGCAGACGGTTTTGGTGAAGCAGAAGTCTGCATCTTTGTAGGAGCAGCAGTCGTTGGTGCTGCTCCAGCTTTTGTTGGCCATACGGCGCCGTCCGCAGCATACTTCGTATTGACGCGACCTGTAAGCTGCCACTCCACACCCTTGATAACGTCGTTTTTGTTACCGTTGGGATCCCCGTGAATGTTTGAGAAGGCGTCGATCATGATGTCGATAGACCCCGGCGACTGATGAACCGTGTTACTAAGTGATCTTGCGAAATAGAATTCCAGGAGGTAACTTACAAGAACGTATCTATCATCAAATGCGTCACCAATGTACATAAGCATTTGCTTGCCAGTCTTGGGGTCCTTAACAGTCGCCTCGAGACCACAGTACTTTTGCGTTGCTGCCTTCCAACCCGCTGGGTCAGAATTGTAGGTCTTGCCGCCCATCGCCTTTAGGGACTAAGCATCGTCCTCATTAGTGACCATTCTAGAGATCTCGAAAAGGATTGGTACCTACCACAGCAAAGACAGGATCGCTGTTATAGTACGTGTACGCACACCAACTTTTGCCGTTTGTCGAATCTTGGCCAGCAGAGGCACGGTACCATGATCCAATACCGCTCTGGGGACCATCGAAGAAGTTCGAGGGAAGATTGACATTGTGGATGTCTGCGAGTGCGGACCCGATGAGAGCCACAAGAGCGATGGGATAAGCAGGCGATGGCATGTTGAATTCGCTTGAAATTGTTCGCTGAAGCTTGTGAATGTTGATGATTCTGTCTGCAGCGCTCCAGCCTGTCTTTATACGACTTGGACGTCGAGGTGACTATTCCCGCAGTGACCTCGATAGTCTGTACCTTCTCCTGGTGCTCGATCGATGTAGGCACTAAATGAGCATAAGAGGTGCACCAAACTACACGAGGCTTAAGGTGAAGCTTGAACATCGGAGGTCACTGCATAGTAGTCCTGCAACTGCAGCCTAACTCGATTCATAACGGAATGAAGAGTCCGTACTAGCGGGCAATCGATAGAACGGATGTTAGACTAGGCGTCCTGTGTATTTACTTACAGTGGCATCCAAACATACAGCGGCAATGACGATCAAACAATTGAGACGCATCTGTTTTCCTTTCTGGGCCTAGCCGGGGCTATTTGAAGCCCCGACACCGAATTGATGCGCTAGAAGTAAATGCCGTACATGGTTCAACCTTCTGTCGGATCAACACGAGGAACAAACGATCTTCCATTAATTCCTTGCTAGCACAGTACGTATACACATATGCCGAGGCATGGCTACAAAACTGTGGGTTGGAGCGTGCCTCACGCGGCTTCATGCAGTAGATCAAACCTTCACTTGTCCAAATCGGGCCGAACCGGACGTTAGTAGTCGGACGCTCCGAGATCGTGATCAACAAGACCCGAGTTCGGGAATACGAGCAACTTCAATTGGATGACTTCATTTCTGATGAGACATGGGGAGCTTGCTACTACAGCCACAATCTACGTGCGAAGAAAGACGACTGCGTGCTATGGAAATGTCGCTGAGCTCATGAATGTCTGCGAAGGACACCGAAAACCTTAGCATCAGGAGCCTCTAATGGTCCCCGATAAAAACATGCGAATACACACGAACGCATCATCTGTCTCAAAGTCTGAGGTGGTCAAAACCAAACTCGCCTCTTGGATCTAGCGCAGATGATCGGTATGACATGAAAAGCGGTAATCCTCAGGGTTCATTAGGTCTATGAACTAGGTATGAGTATGCCGGACCGACACAGTGTGCTGCCCTTTCAAGCAAGTATCAGTGTATAGTGAATATTGAAAATACTAGGGCGATGACAGATAAAACTCTTCATCTCTTTGGCGGCCGTCGTCTATGGCACTTCCACAGATTCAATCGAAGTGAGAAGGTCGAATCGCAATGGAAATCAGAGAGCTACGTGCTTCCACTTGTTCACATAATGAAATAATCTTGAAAGACCGCTGCGACATCAGCGTCCGCAGAACCGGGGCAGTCATGGTCGTGCAAGAGGCAATGTTATCACCTCAACCTATTTTAGGGATACAGTCGGATAAGCTGCTCTAATACCTGACAGGCCAGTCTATGACAGCTGCACGGACGTACTTAGGCTCATGACTGACGCGTCATGTTGAAGTTGTACGCTTCGGGCCATGGTATAATAGTGCGATGTCATAGTATGATAGTGGCGGTCAACGAACTTATCACGAGGCTGTG